CCTAGCAGCTACAGCAGGGTACAGGGTGTCTCATAAATTTCCATATGTTGGAAAAATAAACATTTTTTGTGTGAAGACCATTTTCACATATAAAATATGCTCTACGTTGACTAAGAATATTTTGAAAACATGTTGATATGTTCTCCATTGCTGAAGAACAGGTATAGCACAGCTAGAGTTATGTTTGCAATTGTGTTGGTCATATTTTTTCTATGTATGGACACTTTTGAGATACCCTTTGTAATGAACTTCCACACCTGTTATGACATCTGCAGGACACAATATCAGTCCATCGACCCAGTTACTATGCACACAGATTCCTTCAGTATCACGCCAGCAGAGTCTTTAGAAAGGCATCACAAGGTAAGAACAGGTTGTATTCTCCACTTTATACAGGTTCACTGTGGTTTTTGAGTACCTCTTTTTGGGAACAGATAATAGATAATCTGCTGCTTCGTAACAGGTATGTTGTAAAATGCTGCTGCACTTTTTCTTTTACCTCTTCTGGTCCACCTTGACTTTAGACTCATCCTGATGTAGTGGTTTCTTTGATGCTTGCTTTCTGTCTTGTTCTTGGAATACTTTGCGGTCTACATCCCTCTCCTCTTTTAGTGCATGCCTTTTACGGTATGGTGTCGCAAGGCATGTAAGTCCCTTTAAAGATGAGCTGAAATTGGCTGTGTTGTGCCAAAAAGACCATTGTTATCACAGCTTAGCTGAAAACCACAACAGAAGGTGGCAATCACTAATTAAGTGTGAGTGCAGAAGAAGTACTTTATCCATGACGCCATTATGGGGAAAACATGGACTCCCAGCCTTCCCCAGTTAGCATGTCGTACCAAACAACAGGGAAAACATGGACTCCCTGCCTTCCCCAGTTAGCATGTTGTACCAAACAACAGGGAAAACATGGCCTTCCCCAGTTAGCATGTTTGTACCAAAAAGGGAAAACATGGACTCCCTGCCTTCCCCAGTTAGCATGTTGTACCAAACAACAGGGAAAACATGGACTTGCCTTCCCCAGTTAGTGTACCAAAAAACAGGGAAAACATTGCCTTCCCCAGTTAGCCTGTTGTTTTACTCCCTGCCTAGTTAGCGTGTCGTACCAAGAAGTCCCTGCCTTCCCCAGCATGTTGTACCAAACAACAGGGAAAACATGGACTCCCTGCCTTCCCCAGTTAGAACGTTGTACCAAACAACAGGAAACAGGACTCCCTGCCTTCCCCAGTTAGCATGTTGTACCAAACAACAGGGAAAACATGGACTCCTAGTCTTCCCCAGTTAGCATGTTGTACCAAACAACAGGGAAAACATGGACTCCCTGCCTTCCCCAGTTAGCATGTTGTACCAAACAACAGGGAAAACATGGACTCCCTGCCTTCCCCAGTTAGCGTGTCGTACCAAACAACAGGGAAAACATGGACTCCCAGTCTTCCCCAGTTAGCATGTTGTACCAAACAACAGGGAAAACATGGACTCCCAGCCTTCCCCAGTTAGCATGTTGTACCAAACAACAGGGAAAAAGGGAGCTAGAGAGTGAAGTGAAAAAGATGGAGAGAATAAGGGGAACGATTTTGCATGACTTTGTTGAAGGCCTGTGTTTTATTAGGGGTTAGAAGTCAGAAGAAGAAGAAGAACAGTATGGAGAAATAGACTGTGAGCCCTGTGTGACATATAATGGCTCCAGATGACAATGAATTAATAAATGAATTACTTTATAAACGGAAAAGAGGTGGAGGGGGTCCCCATAAATATGACCTCAGAGAAGACTAGGTGATTAGCTGGTCTACAAGGAAAAGTAATAAGTGGACAGACAGACGGATACTTTTCTTCTGGTCCAGCATCTTCTGCAGCATGGAACATATTGGTGCCACATTTATTTTGGAGTAAACAAGGCAAGCCAAGAGAGGGATCTTGCTGCGTGGGCAACACATGGTCTGTACAGTACTGGGCAGGCTTTGTGCTGTGGAGAGGAATGAACTTAATTTCCATGCCACATTATTACACAATATAAAACTATGGCAGAGAAAGACGGAAATGGATACAAAGAACTTATGCTTAGTGCATGGCATTGCCTGTAAAGAAAGAGAGGGAGAGGGCGGGCAGGAGCAAGCGTGCGTGCGCGCGCGCGCGCGTGTGTGTGTGTGTGAACCAAATGGGATAAAACCCCAGTGGAATTAGGTTGAACCATCTTCTTCCTGACCTGTTCTCTTACCTTTTCTGGGCCACCTTGACCATAGGCATATTGTAATGTTGTAGAGTTTCTCTAATGTTCTCTAGAGTTTCTCTGGTGTTCTCTGTCCATGTTGTTCTTGGTCTACCTCTTGATGAACATCTCTCTCCTCTTTTGGCATATGCCTTGTGTGATATGGTGCCACAAGGCATTCTTTCTAAGTGGCAAACTATTTTATTTGCTGTCTGTGTAATTTAGTATTGGTTCCGTTCCACATTTTTTTTCTTTATGACTTTATTGCCTGATTTTGCGTGTGTGGCTCTTCTGCAGCATTTCTCAAGTATCTTGTCTCCACTTGCTTTTAAACACACTTTTCCAGAAGTTTATTTGTATTCATTATCAAAATTTGGGTTCCATGTGGGTTCTGTGGCCCCATTTTAGGAAACAAAATAATGGATCCACTGCCTTCCCTAACAATTATGTTGTCAAAGATGACTATAACCTGTCTATCAGTGTAAATCAGAAATTAAACACAAGAAGAAAAAGAAAGGACGATTGATGAGTAGTGCTTCCTCCAAAGTACATCTGTCTGAGAGACAAGGAACCAGCAATCTGCATACACATAAGCCAGATCTGTAAAGTGGATGTGCATGCAAAATACAAGTTCTGGAGCAAGACTAAATTCCAGAAATGAACAAAAACAAGAAGTTACAACCAGAGTTTACAGCTGGTGAACGCAAAGACAAAAGATTATATGAAATTTAGAACTGGTAACTGTTTTGAAAATACTGCTACTATAACCATAATATATGTACCTTCAGCAGGTTTGAAACCATCACCTTCCAAGAAACGCTCCATCAGCAAACCTCGATCCCATTCCGAGCAGTCAGAATCCAGTACATTCCAAAAGTCGGATAAACCTAACAAATCCATCGTTTTTCAGGAACCTCCCACTACAGGCGGACATAGTAAGAGTAAGTTCCTAAAAAAAATGTTAGTTGCATGTTATTTACGGATGGTTGCAGAACCAACCCCAGCATTTATTGACTTTGTGATTTCGCTGGGCATTTTTATATTAGGTTGCCATTGCTTTCTAAACAGTCAGCTCTTAGTTAGTACCGCTGTTAAAACCTTTGCTTCCCCTGTGGGTTCCGGGACTCCATTGTAGGAAAAACAAGAATAGACCCCACTGCCTTTCCAACAAGCATGCTCTACCTTTGGGCTTCCTTTGAAGTCGGAGGGAATCTGCCTGAGTGGCAAGGAACCAACAAATTGCATACAAGTACGTCAGATCTGTAATACAGATGTGTGTGCAGCAGTCAATTTCTGGAATAAGACTTAAGTCCACAGTTGGATTGATCTGGTCTTCCAGGCTGACTAGTTTTAAAATAGGCAGCTTGGAAAACCCATAGAAGTAAAAATAGATAGTGTTCTAATTCCACATAACCCATTGAGTGCCAGTTGGTCTATAAAAGCTCGAGATTGGCATCATATATCTGAATGCATTACACAGCAGGGGAAGAGTCATCAACCGGAAAGAGAGCCAACCAAAGAGCAGATATGTGTGGAGGCGGATGATATCGGCAGCAGTAAATTTCAAGGGCTCGAAGTGTTGAAGGGAAAGAAGAAGAAGCAGAAGAAGAAGCAAGTCAGGTATAACTAACGATTTCTGGCCCAGGCATACCGTGATTTGCCGTTCATTCATGCTTATTGACCTTTCACATGTGCAACTCTCTGCTACAAGGGTTTCAGGTTGTATTGTCTTTGACGCTCTCACCGGCGATGACGCCTGTTCTATATTACACAATGAGACCACTTTTAAGGACCCCAGAGGATCTAGAACTGGCCCTAACAAACCCCACTCCCCTCCACTCCCCACAGCCTCAGCCTACGTTCTAGAACTGTTACAATTTTGCAGTCGCCACTCTTTGTCAGTCGTCAGCGCTGACAACTGAAGTAAATTCATTTCGTACTTGAAATACGAAAAGGCTAGAATATACACAGTATCACCGGCCGCTCAGAACAACAAGTGAAACACACTGTTTACCTAGCCGGTCACAGGATACCTAATGTATAGATGATTGAACACAACCTGACTCCCCTCTAACTTAGACTAGCGAGTGTGAAAGGTAGCAAGCATGAATGAATGGCCAGTAACGGTGTGTATGGGCCGGTAATCGATACTTGAACCGCAAGCCAGTGTGTGGAAGTTTTGAAGTGCTTTGATAACAGCAAATAGGGATGTTTCCTTCAAAGTCCAGCAATCAGCGGTTTTCCTGTACGAGATCTTCAGCGGCTACAATCAACTCTGGGGTAACTACTCAGTGTGCCTGACCATTCCTTGAAAAGTCTATCACAGAAGTTACCATTTTGAAACATCCTGCTCCACTACTTATTGTGGAAAACAAGAACAGACCCACTGTGCCCCTAACAGGCAAGTCGTAAAAGTTGACAAATTAGGAATGTTGCCATTGAAGTCAGATTGCATCTACCTGTGAGGCAAGGAACCAGCAGTCTGCATACACATAAACCAGATCTGTAAAATGAATGTGCAGGCAAAACTCAAATTCTGGAACAAGGCCAAAGCCCAGAAGTGGGTGAACAACCAGTTCTTTTCGCTGGAGTTTACAGCCACTGGACACCGAGAAGAAGAAGATTCATAGTCTCTTTAGAATCTCTGTATTTGATTTTTTTAACGTTATCCAAATCCATATGTTTTTGTAGGTTCAGGTTCTGTAGGGGAAAGACCCGACCTCCTTCCAGAATATTCCAAAGTGCCAAGCCCAGATTCCCGCTACTCCCTCCCACCCGGCCACTCGCATACAATATGAATGGGAACTCCCGACATTTAAATAGGTGAGGTTATTCTTTTTTTCTTTCTTTTTTTTTCTTTAATTTTTCAATTGTTTATTATTGATGATAATTGTTTAAAATATTTTCATTCTTCAGGATTTGCAATCTGAAAGCTTGACACTCAGTGTCACTATTCTTCTTCTTCTTCTTCTTCTCCTCCTCCTCCTCCTCCTCCTCCTGCTCCTCCTCCTGCTCCTCCTCCGCCTCCGCCTCCTTCTTCTACTTCTTCTGCTTCTGCTTCCTCCTGCTCCTCCTCCTCCTCCTTCTTCTTCTTCTTCTTCTTTTTCTTCTTCTTCACCACATTCACCAGTTATAAAATCTGAGGGAAAATTCTGGTTTTTTTGTCAACTTTTGGACTTTGACAGTGTTCCAGAACTGTTTGTGCATGTACATCATTTTACAGATCTGGATTATTTATATGCAGACTGATGGTTCCTTGACTTTCAGGCAGATGGACTCTGATCTTGAAAAAACATCACTGATTAGTAGCTTTGTATATGTGTGTTAGTGTGGCAGTGGGTCTGTTAATGTTTCCTCTCAAAATGTGGCCCAGGAACACACATGGGAAGTCACTATTCAGATAGGATTAGTAGGTCAGCTGACAGATTATCTGAACACGGGTGAGGAGTATTGTCTGGATTTTTTCACTGAGATACGCTGGTGTGTTGGGAAATTAACAGGCGAACAGACTGGCTGGCTCTGCACAACTTGGTGGAATACTGATGCCTGATTAGGTAGACGTGGTTAGTGCCTTGTGGGAAAGCGTGTACAGTTCGGAAGAGCAGATGGATCACCATAGTCTAGTGAGATTGGGGGGGGGGGGGGGGGGTGACGAGAGTTCTGGCAGATGCTCGAGGCTCAGAGGAAAGGCAAGACGGTCGTTTAATCAGAATGCTACTGGCAATCTTAGTATTGGAACTCTTCACTGGCTGCTGAAGATAGTGAATGCCCTGAATGCTGTGATGTCGGTTTTTGAAGCAACTCAACTCAACTCAACAGATTATTTCTTCGTTGTGGTTTCTTCGTAGTGGTTTCTTTGTAGTGGTTTCTTCTTAGTGGTTTCTTCATAGTGGTTTCTTCATAGTGCAGAAAATAGATAGTTTGTTTATTATTTTCTTCATTCCTGCTTTTGCCTAGCCAGACTCCTTTTAATTTTCTGTTCTTGCAGTGTGGTCATGGTTGCAGATTGACAGTTCACTACTTGGTTCTCACAAACATTTTCTTTTTTTTTTCTCTTAGAGGATTTAGAATGTCAGTTTGGTACATTTCACATCCACCCTCCACAAAAGCCTTATCTGCAAGCCTAACAGCTTGCTTATTTTCTGTACACCTGCATGCATGGCAGTGCACACACACATGCACGCATGCATGCACACACACACGCACACACAAACACACACAAAAAAGAAAGAAAGTGGTCTTTGTCAGCCCCACAAACTTCAGTAGCGGCTGCTTTCAGACCCAGCCAATTTCTAATCAAACAGGAGCAAATCCTAGAAACCCTGTTCAACCCTCCAACAGTTCTATTGGCATCCCGGAGGCTACAGGTTGGGCCTCTTATCCAGTTGAATGATGAATATGACATCAAAGAAAACCGACCTCATTAAGCCTCGCTGCCTCGAGGAGGAGCTCCTGCACAGACACTCTCCCCAGAGCTGACTTAAGTCATGGAGCCAAAGTTAAATTAAATAAGAAACAAATATCTCATGAAATTTATGAACATAAAATGAGATTAATTCAGGAAAGAGAAAGGAGTAAAAAAATAACAGAAATGTTTGGACTTGCACTGGTATCAACAGTTATAAGATAAAGCAGAACTTTCTGCCGGAGTTCAAAGCCGGTGAACGCAAAGAAGAAGAAGAGGAAGAAGAAGAAGATAAAGCAGATGGAAATACATTAAGCACGTCTGGAGGAGAAGCAGATAGAGGATCACCAAACAGGAACTGAAATGGGTAAAAAAATGAGGAAACAATGATGTTCAAGGAAATGTTTAAGACGAATGGGGTTGATAGAGGTCAAAGGTGCCGGATCTGTTATTTTGAAAAGATTTCTCCGGAAATGGTGAAATGAGGAGCAAACTGTGAGCCCTAATGTATGAACAACACAACAGGACAATGATGATTCATCGGCGGCCAGGTCACCAATCGGCTTGCTGGTAAACGACTTAGTTAGTGGTTGGGACAGTATTTGCGTCTGTCTACTTGGATCGCATCAACAGTGCAGGAGTCCTTTTGAGGGCTCATAGTGACCTATAATGCTAAGCTATTTTATATGGCGCACATAACCTAGTCACAATTATAACCTAAGCTCCCCCTTTGGAAATGCCTGTCAGATGTGACAAATGTTTTTTGGGGGGAGGATTTTTTCAGTTCTTGAACATGTAACTCCCCGTGTGGGTTCCAGGGCCCTATGATAGGGAAAACAAGAATAGCCTACCCAAAAGCTTGTCATAAGAGCCGACTAATTGGGAGCTTCCTTCGAAGTCGGAAGGCATCTGCCTGTGAGGCAAGGAACCAACAGTCTGCATACAAATGAGACAGATCTGTAAAATGGATGCACACGCAACACTCAAGTTCTGGAACAGGACTGCAGTCCAGAAGTGGGTAAACAATCAGAACTTTCCGCCAGAGTTTACAGCTGGTAAACGCAAAAAAGAAGAAGAAGAAGATGTAGCAGTAGGTGTCTTGCAGGAACGTAACTTTTAAACAATATTGACTGCAGGACTTTCAAAGAGGCTAAATACACAGTTGAGCTACCCGCTGAAGAAGCTAGATTTATTTATATACTCCGACCAAAATATAAAAACATAAGAGAACACATTATACACTGTTTGGGATTCAAGGGAAAGAGTTTGTATTGTTTATGACTCAAAGAGGTTTATCATTATCATCATCATCATCATCAAGTGCCTAGCCAGCTGGCGCAGGCGTTCAAACGTCGCCACAGATCTCGGTCTTTGGTGTTCTGGATCAATTCCACTGATGAGATTCCTCCATGCCACTGTCTTGAGCCATCCACCATCATTTCTCTTGGTCTGCCTCTGCCTCTTCTACCAGTTTTCTTTCCAATTGTCACGATATTTTCCAGTGCTCCTTTTCTCAACACAAGAACAAAGAACTTTGTTCTTTGTGCGGTAGAGGATGGGCAGCACACCACGGTGTGCTAAACACAGCTTCTGGGACCCAGTATCCATCGGAATAAGTGGACAACTCTGCAGCTAAGCAGAGCCGGGCACTCACCTGTCCTGTCAGTCATAAATTATTGTTATAAGTAGAGGTAAAAGACACCCCCCCACCTTTCCCCACCATGTGGATGTGGAAGACAACAGGAAAACCACCACATTATTGTCCCAAGCATTCATGAAAAGTCACAAAGAGTTTACCTATAAATAAAGCAAATTGACTTTACTTGAGGACATTTCTAATGAGGGGCAAAATTTAGAATTTCTAGGTCAGAACCTGCTAACCTCAGCATGTATGGAAGTGAAGATGGGCTTTCAGCAGGCACTGCCTCCACAGCATCACTGAGAGGCATCGGCGTCAGCTCTAGTTTAGCAAGTCACCGAGTTCCTTCTCCATCACTGAGTTTGTCCGAGTCCACCCCAACGCATACCGATTGTACAGAAGGCACGCCCAGTTTCACAAACTCCAGTCTCAGTTGCTCCAGCGGTATTATGGGTATTTCTTAGCATGCTAGATGACCTTTAAATTATGATTAAAAAAATATACCACACACACATGTCCTCACTGATACCACACTCACATGTCCTCACTTATACCACACTCACATGTCCTCACTTATACCACACTCCTGCCCACTCAGAGAGAGAGAGAGAGAGAGAGAGAGAGAGAGAGAGAGAGAGTGCGTGCGTGCGTGCGTGGGGGGAGGTGATGAACAAAGAAACTATTCCAGTGGGTCACAAATTGGACAAGAAGGATGAAGGCTGTTCTTACATTGCGGTCCTTTCATCTTTATAGAACTTGAGTTTTGTATGAACATCCATTTTACAGATATGGTTTTGTTTGCAGACTGTTGCACCCAGACTTTCAAAAATACACCCCTAATTAGTAGACTTTTATGACATGCTTGTTTAGGGTGCAGTGGGTCTGTTCCTTTTCCCCCACACATTGGGGCCCCTAAACCCACATGGGGAACTTTATTTGATCAGAGAGAATTACCTGGGAGGTATATTGTCATTTAAACTCAAGATTGTGGTTCACTGATTTCAGTCACAGGTGTGATGGAAAGTTCAGTCTGATGTGATGTGTAGCAGGAGATAGTTCATACTTCACCACAGGCACCAGCCTTTTACAGGTTTTCCTGCCTGTAAGCGTATGCTAGAATGGTAGATTGAAATTTATAAGGACCTACCCACATGTGGAGTGAGAATTATGGACCTACCCGCATGTATAGTGAGACATAGGGACCTGGCCACAGCTGTATGGTAGAGTTAGATATAGGGGCCTGTTAAACATCTGTATGTTAGAGAAAAAATGGGGTCTGTTCATATGGTAGAGAGAGACATAGGGGCCTGTTCACATCTGTATGGTAGAGAGAGAAATAGAGGTCTGTTCACATCTGTATTTTAAAGAGAGAGACAGGGGCCTGCCTGTTCATATCTGTATGGTAGAGAGAGAGAGACATAGGGACCTGTTCACATCGTATGGTAGAGAGAGACACAGGGGCCTGTTCACATCTGAATGGTAGAGAGAGACATAGGGGCCTGTTCACATTTGTATTGTAGGGAGAGACATAGGGGCCTTTTTACATCTGTATGGTAGATAGAGAGACAGGGGCCTGTTCACATCTGTATGGTAGAGAGAGACACATAGGGGCCTGTTCACATCTGTATGGTAGAGAGAGAGACATAGGGGCCTGTTTACATCTGTATGGTAGAGAGAGACATAGGGGCCTGTTCACATTTGTATTGTAGGGAGAGACATAGAGGCCTTTTTACATCTGTATGGTAGATAGAGAGACATAGGGGCCTGTTCACATTTTTATGGTAGAGAGAGACATAGGGGCCTTTTTACATCTGTATGGTAGATAGAGAGACAGGGGCCTGTTCACATCTGTATGGTAGAGAGAGAGAGACATAGGGGCCTGTTCACATCTGTATGGTAGAGAGAGAGACATAGGGGCCTGTTTACATCTGTATGGTAGAGAGAGAGAGACATAGGAGCCTGTTCACATCTGTATGGTAGAGAGAGACATAGAGGCCTGTTTACATCTGTATGGTAGAGAGAGAGAGAGACAGGGGGATCTGTTTTCATCTGTATGGTAGAGAGAGAGAGACATAGGAGTCTGTTTTCATTTCTATGGTAGATAGAGAGACATAGGGGTCTGTTTACATTTCCATGGTAGATAGAGAGACATAGGGGTCTGTTCACATCTGTATGGTAGAGAGAGACATAGAGGTCTGTTCACATCTGTATGGTAGAGTTAGAGACATAGGGGTCTGTTCACATCTGTATGGTAGAGAGAGACATAGGGGTCTGTTCACATCTGTATGGTAGAGAGAGAGAGAGACATAGGGGTCTGTTCACATCTGTATGGTAGAGAGAGAGACATAGGGGTCTGTTTACATCTGTATGGTAGAGAGAGAGACATAGGGGTCTGTTCACATCTGTATGGTAGAGTGACAGACATAGGGGTCTATTCATATCTGTATGGTAGAGAGAGAGACATAGGGGTCTGTTCACATCCGTATGGTAGAGTTAGAGACATAGGGGTCTGTTCACATCTGTATGGTAGAGAGAGAGACATAGGGGTCTGTTCACATCTGTATGGTAGAGAGAGAGACATAGGGGTTTGTTCACATCTGTATGGTAGAAAGAGAGACATAGGGGTCTGTTCACATCTGTATGGTAGAGTTGGAGACATGGGGGTCTGTTCACATCTGTATGGTAGAGTGAGACATAGGGGTCTGTTCACATCTGTATGGTAGAGAGAGAGACATAGGGGTCTGTTTACATCTGTATGGTAGAGAGAGACATAGGGGTCTGTTCACATCTGTATGGTAGAGAGAGAGAGACATAGGGGTCTGTTCACATCTGTATGGTAGAGTTAGAGACATAGGGGCCTGTTCACATCTGTATGGTAGAGAGAGAGAGAGACATAAGGGTCTGTTCACATCTATATGGTAGATAGAGAGACATAAGGGCCTGTTTACATCTGTATATGGGAGAGAGAGAGAGAGAGAGAGAGAGAGACATAGTGGTCTGTTCACATCTATTTGGTAGATAGAGAGACATAGGCATCTGTTCACATCTGTATGGTAGATAGAGAGACATAGGGGTCTGTTCACATCTATATGGTAGAGAGAGAGAGACATAGGGGTCTTTTCACATCTATATGGTAGATAGAGAGACATAGAGGTCTGTTCACATCTGTATGGTAGATAGACATAGGGGTTTGTTCACCTCTATATGGTAGAGAGAGAGAGACAGGGGCCTGCCTGTTCATATCTGTATGGTAGAGAGAGAGACATAGGGACCTGTTCACATCGTATGGTAGAGAGAGACACAGGGGCCTGTTCACATCTGAATGGTAGAGAGAGACATAGGGGCCTGTTCACATTTGTATTGTAGGGAGAGACATAGGGGCCTTTTTACATCTGTATGGTAGATAGAGAGACAGGGGCCTGTTCACATCTGTATGGTAGAGAGAGACATAGGGGCCTGTTCACATCTGTATGGTAGAGAGAGAGACATAGGGGCCTGTTTACATCTGTATTGTAGAGAGAGACATAGGGGGCTGTTCACATTTGTATTGTAGGGAGAGACATAGGGGCCTTTTTACATCTGTATGGTAGATAGAGAGACATAGGGGCCTGTTCACATTTTTATGGTAGAACGAACGAACGAACGAACGAACAATCTTTATTTTCAAAGGGTTAAGAATTGGGCACACAGGCCCGTCTTACATTCTGCCCTTCTGGCCGTACGCCATGCATACATTATTTATGCACACATTGTTTAAGAAGATAGTAAGAGAGACATAGGGGCCTTTTTACATCTGTATGGTAGATAGAGAGACAGGGGCCTGTTCACATCTGTATGGTAGAGAGAGAGAGACATAGGGGCCTGTTTACATCTGTATGGTAGAGAGAGACATAGGGGCCTGTTCACATTTGTATTGTAGGGAGAGACATAGGGGCCTTTTTACATCTGTATGGTAGATAGAGAGACAGGGGCCTGTTCACATCTGTATGGTAGAGAGAGAGACATAGGGGCCTGTTTACATCTGTATGGTAGAGAGAGAGAGACATAGGAGCCTGTTCACATCTGTATGGTAGAGAGAGACATAGAGGCCTGTTTACATCTGTATGGTAGAGAGAGAGAGAGACAGGGGGATCTGTTTTCATCTGTATGGTAGAGAGAGAGAGACATAGGAGTCTGTTTTCATTTCTATGGTAGATAGAGAGACATAGGAGTCTGTTTACATTTCCATGGTAGATAGAGAGACATAGGGGTCTGTTCACATCTGTATGGTAGAGAGAGACATAGAGGTCTGTTCACATCTGTATGGTAGAGTTAGAGACATAGGGGTCTGTTCACATCTGTATGGTAGAGAGAGACATAGGGGTCTGTTCACATCTGTATGGTAGAGAGAGAGAGAGACATAGGGGTCTGTTCACATCTGTATGGTAGAGAGAGAGACATAGGGGTCTGTTTACATCTGTATGGTAGAGAGAGAGACATAGGGGTCTGTTCACATCTGTATGGTAGAGTGACAGACATAGGGGTCTATTCATATCTGTATGGTAGAGAGAGAGACATAGGGGTCTGTTCACATCTGTATGGTAGAGTTAGAGACATAGGGGTCTGTTCACATCTGTATGGTAGAGAGAGAGACATAGGGGTCTGTTCACATCTGTATGGTAGAGAGAGAGACATAGGGGTTTGTTCACATCTGTATGCTAGAGAGAGAGACATAGGGGTCTGTTCACATCTGTATGGTAGAGTTGGAGACATGGGGGTCTGTTCACATCTGTATGGTAGAGAGAGACATAGGGGTCTGTTCACATCTGTATGGTAGAGAGAGACATAGGGGTCTGTTCACATCAGTATGGTAGAGAGAGAGAGACATAGGGGTCTGTTCACATCTGTATGGTAGAGTTAGAGACATAGGGGCCTGTTCACATCTGTATGGTAGAGAGAGAGAGAGAGAGAGAGACATAAGGGTCTGTTCACATCTATATGGTAGATAGAGAGACATAAGGGCCTGTTTACATCTGTATGGTAGAGAGAGAGAGAGAGAGAGAGAGAGAGAGAGAGAGAGAGAGAGAGAGAGAGAGAGAGAGAGAGAGAGTGGTCTGTTCACATCTATATGGTAGATAGAGAGACATAGGCATCTGTTCACATCTGTATGGTAGATAGAGAGACATAGGGGTCTGTTCACATCATATGGTAGAGAGAGAGAGAGACATAGGGGTCTGTTCACATCTATATGGTAGATAGAGAGACATAGAGGTCTGTTCACATCTGTATGGTATATAGACATAGGGGTTTGTTCACCTCTATATGGTAGAGAGAGAGACATAGGGGCCTGTTCACATCCTTATGGTAGAGAGAGAGAGACAAAGGGGTCTGTTCACATCTATATGTTTGAGAGAGACAGGGATCTGTTTACATCTGTAAGGTAGAGAGAGAGACATAGGGGCCTGTTTACATCTGTATGTTAGACATTCAAGATTCCGGCTGTAAGTTCCCATCGTAGTACGAAGCCAAAGTCTAAGTGGATGAACAACATGGAGTTTTCATAGGAATTCACAGCCGGTGAACACAAAGAAGAAGAAGAAATAGAAAAATAAGATCACTGAACTGACATTTCTGTTCATGAGCTGCCAAGCCACTGTAACTCCTGAATACTGATTCTTGTTTTCTTAGCATTTGCCGTCCTGAACCTTAGCAAAGAGTCATGGTTGTTCATCCTTTCTGGACTTTAATCTTGATCCAGGACTTTAGTGTTGCATGCTCATTTACCTGCAGATAGGGTTTATTTGTGTGCAGACTGTTGGTTCCTCATCTATCAGGCAGATGTTCTCAGACTTCGACACTATCTGTGTTAGCCAGGCCTCATATAGGGAACCTGTTTTTTTAGGATGGCCACAGAGAGGTATGGTTATGATTGCTGACCTTCACCCAGACAGCCCAGGCTCAAAACTAGTATAGGAGCAAATATCTGTAGCCGTTATGGTGGCTGGGCGTTGGCCTGTTGATCTGAACGTTGTGGGTTCAGGTCCTGATGAAAAAAAAAAAACGACCCTGGCTTTCGGGTTGCCCCAATTTTAAATGGGTACCTGATGGAGTCTTGGGAAGTTGGTCTAGGTTGGTCTATAAAATAGGTCTAGCTCTGAATGCCCAGCATGCCTAAAGACATGGAAAAGGGTCTAGAGAGGTGTGGATAAGTCTTGACCACTGTAAGCAATGGTTCTGATGCACCACCTCATATGGGTTTAACACTTCTGCATCCTCTATCTGCTGTTTGATGTTAATATTTCACTCAGTATTACTTTTTTTTAAATTCACCCAAAACATAAAAAATCTAGGAGTTTCTGCGATAGTGCAAATTTCTAGGGGTGTTGTGGGTTAGGGTTAGGGTTATATAATAAACAGACAGACAGTGCATTGATTGGCACTCATAGAAAGAATTAGTAATGTAGAAGGAAAGATAGAAGGTTTATTTAGGTGGGGTTATGGTTAGAGTCAGTGTAGGGTTAGCTGGTGTCTCAGAGGCAGTTGGGGCTTACAAAGATCCTTACCTTAACCTTGCGCTTAGCCCATAACACACCTATACTATTGGACTTTCTTGTGCAACTCTGGGATTTTCTTTGTTTGGGTTGAATTAAAAAATAAAATACCCCCTGTTTCTCACCAGATATGGGAAGTACGAGTGTCTTAGATGCAGCGGGAATGCCTTCACCTGGTCGGTCACCAGCCCCCAGTCCAGACCTACGCTACAGCAACAGACGAGGAAGAAAGGGTGCAGCCTCCCCGCTCGCCCGACCATCGCAGAAAGAGAGCACAGACAGAGTTTCTGCGAGCTTGACCATGGCAGAACCAAGACGGGACATGACTGTACAGGTAGGACATGATGTGTCTGGGCAGGGGTTGGAGCGGAGGAGGGGGGGGGGGGGGGGCTCTGCGTGTGTGCGAGGGGAGAGAAGAGGGATATAACTCAGAGAGCAGAGAGGGTCTTTTAGTGAGCTTTGGGCATGTCAGAACCAAGACAGGATGTGTGCATATCTGGGTGGCTAGAGGCAGGTAGGCAGGTGTGTGTGTTCCCAAATGCATGCATGCATGCATGGAGAAAGGGATATAATTCAGAGAGCACAGACACAGCTTTAGTGAACTTGACACCGCCTTTTTTTCCATTTGGAAGTAATGAAAAATAGCATCTTCAAGAAATCTTAGCACTCTGCCATTGGTCAACATATGAAGAATTTGAAATGTGATGTCTTTGTCTCATTTAAATATGAAAGAGTTATGTAAACAGAAAGCCGTGGCAGTAAACCTACGCTTGCCTGGATAAAACATGCTGTTTTTTTTTTTAAATAGCTAAATTTGTGTTACATTTGTAAAGGATTCACTTGAGTGATTCTTTTTAGTTTAGCATTGACCATTTGGTGGCGTAGGTATTGGGGTGTGGGCTTTGAGCTTGAAGATTTAGGGCTGCATGCCTAGAGCAGGTTAGGATTTAATTTTTGCCCCTGAAAAAACCCATAAAATATCAATATGTACGCAGAAAAGCAGCTTGTAAATGCGCTACTAATACCCAACTTTGTGCTGTCAGTGTCAGACATATACTAGAAATACATAAAAGCAGAATGACAAAATGTGATTTGGGATGTACAGAAAGGTGACAAAAGAGCCACCACCGAAGGAGAAAGAAAAACGGTAGGCACAATACGGATAAATGATTCTATAGAACATCAAAGAATAAAATGTTTTAGTCATCTGGTCAGAATGGAGCAAAATCAGCCAGTAGCTAGAGTGTACCACATGAGAACAGCAGGCTACAAGGAAAGAGACTGACCAAGAGTTAGATGAAGGGAGCAAAAGAGACACTTCACAAATGCAGAATTACATTAATACAAGTTAAGCAAAGTTTTCAGACTCTTCTGAATGTAACAGGAAATGAGGAAACAGTACCATTCACACCCAGATGTACAAACGAGGAACAGCCTACAATAATCGAACAAGAAGTCAGAGAAGCAATCAGATGCAGTCCCAAAAATAAGGCATCAGGTGTTGATAGAATATCAGCCGAGGCAATACAGGCTTGTGGAGAAATTGGAGTCACCTGGCTACTCCACATATTTAGGAAAGCCTGGAATGAAAGAACTGTACCAATAGACTGGCAAAGAGCTCTTATAGTCCCAATTTGGAAAAGAAAAGGCAATAAGCAAGATTGTAACAATTACAGAGGCTTCTCCCTTCTAAGCCAAGTAGGAAAAATGTTTGCCAAAATTCTGGAACAACAAATTAGATCCGTTGTAGAACCGATCCTGAGCCCATCACAGGTCGGATTTAGGAAAGGAAGAGGGTGTACTGACGCTATTTTTGCTTTAAGACAAGTTAGCGAAAAGACAATAGAACACAGACATCAAATGAACATCGCTTTCATAGATCAAGAAAAAGCTTTCAATAGAGTGAACATAAATTTATTATGGAAAGTTCTTGAAAACTACGGTATAAATGGAACAATTTTAGATTGTGTTAGGGCTATTTTTAGACAAAGTGAAAGCGCCATTAGAACAAGAGCTGGCATCACAGACTGGTTCCCAGTAACATCAGGAGTAAGACAAGGTTGTGTATTATCACCTTTACTTTTCATAATATTTATGGACAAAATTAATAAAATAGACATAACACCAACAGATGTCGATAAACAGGAGGACTTCAATGAGCTGCTCTTTGCCGACGATCAATGCATATTTCACAGTGATAGTAAACAGCTGCAAGACCACATAAACCTACTACACGACAGTTGCCTCAAGCATCATATGAAGATCAATACTGAAAAGACAGAAGTCATGAGCATAAGTAGAGAGCAACAGACCATCGACATAAAGATTCTAGATCACAGCCTAAAACAAGTGCAAGAATTTAAATACTTGGGAAGTATCTTTACATTCAATGGTAAAATAGACAGAGAGATCGAAGCAAGAATCCAACAAGCCAACAATGTCGCATACCAGCTTGCCCCAATTTTAAAACACCCTGCTGTCCCAGCTGAGATAAAAAGACAAATTATAAATACAATCTTTATACCAACATTAGGTTATCAATGTCAGACTTGGACAACAAAAGAACACGAGAGAAGACTAACCACCTGTGAAATGAGGTGTTTGAGAATGGCTGCGAATAAAACCAGAAGAGATCGAGTGAGAAACGATGTGATTACAAGAACTATTGGAACCATACCCATCGTTAAATTTATTGAGAAGCAAAGAATGAAATGGTTTGGTCACCTAATGAGAATGGAACCAACGATGCCAGCATCAAGAGCATACAACATGAAAATCGAAACACCAAGAGGCAGGGGAAGACCAAGAAGAAGATGGATTGAAGGAGTCACGGACAACTTGAGACTTCATAACATCACGGCATATGAAGCGACTGAGCGCGCCCTGGCTCGGTTGCCGATCATCTGATAGACTGCGACGCCTAGCGGCACAAGCAGATTTTGACAAAAGAAGAAGAAGAAGCAAATAACGACAGACAAGAAACTAAATCTAACGCCTCTCTGCAATGCTTTACAGCAGGGTTCTTCAACTGGTGCCAGATCTGGCCCTCGGAGGCCAAGAAAGTGGCTCACGGATTGTTGCCAGTTATCTTGCATTAATGTTGAATTAATTATCAACATCTTAGCACTCGGGACACTCCCATACACGCTCAGCCCCCTATCTTCAGCAGCAGATGAAGAGTTCCAATTCTGGTGGAACCAGTAGCTGTCTGATTGTTCATCCGTCTCGCCTTTTTCCTGGGTGTTGAGGGTGAAGAACACCAGGATAACTCGCTGCAGCTCCATTCTCCTCAGACCATATTGATCTATTTGTACCTATGCACTGTTCACTTGCTCCCAAAGGGCCCTCACAACATCTAGCTTTTCATACATCAATTCACCACCAAGTGGTGCAGAACCGGCCAGTCTGTCTACCTGCTCGCTTCCGAACACACCAGCATGACCTGCAGAAATAGCCAATAGACACCAGCTACCCTGGATTGTACTGTAATAATGATATTTCTATTCTAGGGTTTAGGCCTCGGGCTCGCGACAATCCCCATTTTCAAAATTGTGGCTCACGAGTAAACTGAATAGTCCTGCCATAACCCATAAGCAGTAGGACGAAAGAAGAAGAATAAAGATAGGAAAAAACCATAACTTTATCATTGATTCTGACCTTGGTCTCCGACATGAGAGCCCTAACCTATTGACCAACCACTCTTCTGTGTCGTTTGCAAATCCTCATTTGCTGTTTGTAATTATTTGTTCACCGGCTGTAAACCCCGGCGGACAGACCAGGTTGTTCGTCCATTTCTGGACTCCTGGCTTTGTTCAAGGACCTGATTTGTGCATGTGCATCCGTTTTACAGCTCTTGCTTATTTCTGTGCAGGCTGTTGGTTCCTTCCTGCTCAGGCAGATGTACTCTGACTTTGAAGGAAGCCCCCATTTAGTCGACTGTTACAACATGCCTGTTGGGGAGTCAGTGGGTCTATTCCTGTTCCCCCCACAATGAGATCCAGGAACCCACACGGGGAGATTTGCTATATAATCTCCCACTTCTGGGACCTTACACCAAGGAAGAACAAGGGCCTGTAGGCACACCTTGCCTGTATCAGGTTTAGTAGTCCTGCTTATGTAGATATTTCTTCACCGCATGAATAACATCCTTAGGTCTGTCTGTCCGTCTTCTTGTAAATACAGTAAGGATTGCACACAAAAATAATGCAAAAATAATCATAAACACAGGCTCGCTCTTTTTATCAGGTTACCCCAGGCTCACCACAAATTAAAGGAAATCATTTGCCTGAAGCACAAACAACAACAACATTGCAAACAGCAGTGACGTCTGCTACAGCTGATGCTCTTGCGACAGAATCAGAAACGGTAAACTGATTTTTGTATTCTGTTACTGTTTTAAAAATAGTTTCGTGCATGTTGCAGTGAATCCCTTTTTTTTTTGGGTCAGTTTTGGTGCAGTCTTTCCGATTTTTCTCTTCTTCCTTATTATTTTGTTTTTAAAATAATGCACAAGTTTCATTTTAAAACCCCAAAATAAAACGTGTGCATTATTTTTGGGTTTTATTATTATTGTTTCAGTTGTTTTCCTGTCTTGAACTTGAAGACCTGCAAATATCTTGACTGTTAGATAACATAACTGTAATCAAAATGTGTTTACTTTGAGATTTTGATACATTTAATTTAATATGATGTTTGTTGCAAAAACACGTGTACTGTGTGTTATTGTTTTTTAAAAAAATCATATATAATGTATAACTGGGAAAACATGTTTACTATAATTAAAAAAAAAAAATTAAATATAATGTAATGCATAGTTGGGGTAAAATAGCCCACTTCAAGATTAAGTTAGATAACATACCTGTAATCAAAATGTGTTTACTTTGAGATTTTGATATTAATTCAATATGATGTTTGTTGCAAAAACACGTGTACAGTGTTATTGTTTTTTAAAAACCATAAATAATATATTACTGGGGTGTTATCGATTGTGATGTTCAGTTTGTGAAGAAAATATGGTTATCACAACGTTCTCATTGATATATTTAATGTGATGTTTAGTGTGTGAGAGAAAATGTTTACTACAAGAGTTTTACATAATGTGTTTAATGTGATGTTGTGTCTGCATAATATTGATATAAGGTTCTAAGTACATATTTATTTGTTATAAGCAGAACTGTTTTTCAGAGGTGGGAAAAGTGCTGATACTCATCAAGAAGTGTTAGACAAAAAAAATGGCGGTGATACTTACTACATAAGCACCCCCCAAAAAAAAAATGGTGCCGGTACTGCCTACCGCCATACTACCAGAAGAAAAGCCCTGGTTGTGAGGCTGTTGAGTTTCATCCATGCTGTGCTTATGCTATTTATGATTCTATTGTCTCCCATGTGAATTTTGGGGAAAACAATAGACCCACTACAAGTATGTCCCAGGAGCCAACAAATATGGACTTCCTTCGAAGTCAGAGTTCATCTGCCTGAGTGGCATGGAACAACCAACTCCATACAAAAATTAAAAAAAAAAAAAAAAGCCAGTGCAATGGATATACATGCAAAACTCAGGCCCTGGCATGACTAACAGCCGGGACTTTCTGCTGAAGCTTCCAGCCGGGGGACAAAAAAGAAAAAGAAGTATTGTTTTCTGGAACAGTAGTGAACCAAGAGCGCTTCTTTTGAATCTGACATTCCCTTTGTGGTTCTGGAGTCTTGGGGATGTGGGGGTGTCCAATAGTCCTTAACTAATTAAGTATCGATTGGTGATGTGATAGATATCAGACTGGTCGTTGTTACTTTCTAGAACATTAAATTAAGACAGCCCAACCAGCCTGTTCAAACTGTATAGTATTTTACCACTGCTGAGCAAAACCGTACATTTGGTACCACACCCGATGTGGTAAGTTTTATAAATTTTGCGCCACTATTTTAAATTTTGGTATTGTGTTGAACCTTGAAAAAATTGATTGGTAATATAATGAAATTTAGCATGGTGCAGTTGTTGATGTAAATGTACTTTTTTTGATGTGATTGGTCATGTGTGGTTTTGTTTCACTTTCATACGCCAGTGAAAGGGAATTAATTGTGCACATACCTAATGCTGAATGAACAACAGAAAACTTTTGATTACAAGATTTAATGCCACATGGCTAGTGTAGTCGCCACAAACTGTGTAGGTTAGGATTTTTATTTTGTTTCTTGTTCTTCTTTTCTTTCACATTATAGCTCAGCAAAGTCTCGGGGGGAGATGTATCATTCGTTGATGAGCTCTGTCAGAGCACTATTAAGACTGATGTTCATTTCTGTAAGGCTGTTTTTTAAAACCATCACTCCATATTTTCCGAGGTCTTCCACTCGCTCTATACCTGTTGTAACATATTAGTATGGCTCGCTGTGGCAGATAGTACCAGGTTTTTTTTGGGGGGCACCTAACAGAAAATAAATCTGCATTCTTTACCAATGATCAAATCTGGGTGACCCTCCATTTAGATAAATATAATCTTAACCCAACAGTTTTCAATGACCATTTCACAGAGGTCGCCTAAAACCATCGGAAAACACATACTTTTTGAAGTTATGAAGTAGCAACGAAAATAATGTTATGGTTGGGGGTCACCACAACAGAAGAAATGTATTAAAGGGTTGCAGCATTAGAAAAGTGGAGAACCACTGGCGTAACCTTTTCCATCCCAAGCAATGTACCATATGTGCTCAGCGTATGTCTGTGTGTATCAAAACAACAAGTGTTTTATTATTTATTTTCTGTTTGGTCTGGGTATGCTAAAAAAAATCAGGCCAAATGTTTTAAAGGAAACACAGTGTATCCTGTATCTTTGAAAGTGATTCGCTGATGCCTATTTTAATGTGATTATTGTGCCAAATTGGCTTTCTATTTAAAACCACCTGGAACTGAAAGAGTTGTTGCTTTTAGACAAATGCCTCTTGGCTCCATCTGTGCAAAAAAAAACATTCTATGCTTCCCTGTTAAATGTATGTAATCCACCTCGTCACACATATGTCCACTGTGTTATACGTTGTGTAAATGTTGTTCCACATCCATACTCCTACAAGGTGGACGCTTAGACGCAGCTGCCACTGACTCACAAGCACAGCGAAGGTACCTAGTTTTGCATGACAAAGTTACGTAGCCATTACATAATCCAGAAATGTATCAAGTGTAATAGCGCTGCAGCAGATGTCCAATAGCGGTCTTAGTGTAATATATGTATGTGCTTAGGTGCTTTTCTCACTTACAGCCAGGGAGGGCTAAATATGCTTTTGTTGTGTATGTGATCAACAGGCATTTTTGTTTTGTTTACTGTTGCCTATTGCCTTTTAAAATTTGTTTTGAGTGAGCTTCTGGCCTGTAGTTTGTCTTCTTAAGCTGCTTGCCTGGTTTATTTATAGAGAAGGAGTAGATTTTACAGAGAGGAGACAGTGATGCAGGTCTGGGACAGATGTAGTAGCTTTCCAGTCCTTCTCTCTCCATCTCTTTCTCTCTCACTCAGTGTGTGTACGTGTGTGAGAGATAGAAAATATGTTTATGTGTGATTATGTCTGTCTGCCTCTCTCTTGTCTCTTATTTCTCTCTCTCATACTTAAATACAAACACACAGAGAATGAGAGAGAGAGAGAGTGCATCCATCCACCTATCTCTCGCTTTCTTTTTTCTGTGATATCTACCTGTCTCTTACACAGACTCCCTGATGTCTGTGTTTCTCCTTCTAAGTCTCATGGAATCACTACTGCTGTATGTATCAGGAGCATAGAGAACAGCTACAACAGTTACTAATAAAACTACAGACATTCAGGAACTTTGCACCCTTGCTACATGGACCCTCACTAGAGCTGCTAAGCTCCACATTGTAACTGTATGAGTGTGATGTCTTAAAGGAGCTGTCAAAATAACAAATGGGAATAATATTAGAAATAAAGAAATTAAAGGAAGACTGCAACTGAAACCTATCAAGCTGTTTATTAAATAAATTGATCCACTGAACTGTGAATAAGGAGTTCAGGGAAGAAAAAAAAAAAGGGGGGGGGGGGGAAATGTTTATTGAACAGGGAGAGAACCACTGTGATGTAGTGGCAAAACGTTTGTATCACCATCAAGTGCCTTGCGGACTGGCATGGGCTATCCGCAAGCGCGTGTTTCAGTTTATTCTTTCCACTGATCTTTCCAGTGGTCACAGCATGTTCCAGTTTCCCTTTTCTCATAACATCAACGAAAATTTATGACTCTCTTTAAGATGTTTGTGATAAGATGTCTTCGAGCCCTTGCCACTTTCAAAACATCTAGGTTGCTCTTTTTAGCAACCCAAGGAATTCATTCTAAGGGTTCTTCTGTAAAACCAGATCTCCGAGGCCTCAAGATATTTTGTTTGGCATGTTTAAAAATCGTTCAGGATTTGCAGCCCAGTGTTAAAATTGGCTCCCTATAGCATGTGAGTCAGCTCTATAGCTAAGTCGATTCAAACGCTTCGTAATGCCAGGATGCCGGGTTCGATCTCAGCTGCAGGCCATGCGCCTTGCGTTGGTTTCGACAGTGGTACCAAGAAGGCAGACCGTCCAGAAAGCAATGGCAAACTACTGGACGTAAATTTGCCTAGAAAAACCATGTAAAGGATACGCAACTAACCTTATAGCAAGTGAGAAACACTTGCATACAGGCCCAAAATTCGGGTTCACCATGTTAGGACGAATAAATAATAAAAAAGAAAAACACATTGACTTTGGCGCCAGATTGACCTAGCTTACACTAGGGTCACAGGAAATGTCCTAGGAAATAAAGATGGCTGGCATACGATTGACCACATCCACCATCGAGTGCCAGTCGGTTGACAGAAATAGGAGTTTGGCAGCAAATAAACCACCCCCCGCCCGCCCACAGTTCATTGGATGCTGGATCTTTTCTCTGGGGCATGCCACTGTTTTGGGAAATGAATAGATGGACAGGTTGGCTGACTGCAAAACTTAGATGAATACTATATGTATCTTTTCTGCCTTTCTTACTTTTTTTTTCTTCTTTTTTTTTTCCTTCTTACTACCTGTTTTTGTCTTTCTTACTATTTGTTTCTCTTCTTTCTTATTATTTCTTTTTCTTCCTTTCTTTCTGTTTATTTCTCTTCTTACTTCCTGACTATTTATTTATGTTCCTTTCTTACTATAAATTTATTTTTTGCCTTTCTTTTTTTCTTTTCCTTCCTTTCTAACTATTTGTTTCTGTTTCTTTCTTTCTTACTGTGTGTTTCTGCTTCTTCCTTTTTTGTTTCTTTTTCTTCCTTTTTTACTGTTTGTTTCTGTTTCTTCTTTTCTTACTTTTCATTTCTGTTTTATGTTTCGTACTATCCATTTCTTCTCATCCTTTTTACTAT